CGAATCGAACTGAGACAGTCGAACCGAACGGTTCGGACGGTTTTCATAAACCGTTCCATCCCTATTATGTGTACAGATTAGTGGCTTTTTAGACCGAGAGTATGTGCAGCTCCAAGATTCATTTTCTGTATTATTTGGTGGAAACATGGTTTTTCTGTCTTTCCATTGTCCTGCAGAATAAATTCAAAGGACAAAGGCAATAATAAAAGAAGAGCATGGCAAGAAAGAAAAACAGAAGGGAAGAAAGAAAGGCCTCTCAATCCCTGCCTTTAAAGGGTGACTCAGTGTGAAGGCTAACTTATATTCCTGTGTTGGGAGGTTCCAAAGATGTAATATTCTCCAAAAGCAAAAGAAAGCAGAACTCAACCTAACCAGTTGAAATGCAAAAAAATAAAAAGAAAGAAATAAGTTGATGTCATATTTCCAAAATGTCCGACAATTGAAAACAATCATGACGAGATCCGGGTGTGTTTGTGGAAATTAACGTTATAGACAAAGAAGATCAGGTTTTTTACCAATGAAGATCCCCGATATAGATCTATTGTGAATAAAAGGTTTAAACAAACATTTTGCTTTGGTAACTCAAAGCTTCCATCAATCTGAAAGTGATGGAAAAAGAAATCAAAATCCTTGTTTGTACCCATAAACATTGCTGATCCCTTTATGGATCAGCAATGTAGACCCTTCATTGTACAGTTGGTGCTTCAATAGCACATCCAAGTTTGGGCAATCAAGGGTACTTTATTAACTGAACACCAGCCATGACCTCCTGTATGAACTTTAAAGACATTAGAGATGTAAATTGTTATGGGAAACACATCTAGGAGGTTTAGACTATTTTAAGAGTAGTTTAAAGTCAGGAAATATTACAAAGAAATTAAGTACAAACATGACAAACCCTTCAGGTCTAAAATGTTCATGACAGAAGAATATGGCAGCCTGATTTGAGTTGGCGAAGCTGCCTTTGAATGACCCTAACAGACTTCTGGAACACTCTGTGGCAGTTTGAAAGGGGTTTTATGGACGCCATTTACATTAAGAGAGAAAAAAACAACCTTAAACAGACAGGGTGGACTCAGCTCTAGAAAATCTATAACAGAGTTAGTGTTGATTCCTTCCCACTACCACCTGAATCCTCATTGCCATGCAGGTGGACACAACATGGCTCCTGTTAAGCCAGACCTATAAGAACCTTAATGACTCCCCCTTACATAGGCATGGGCATTCACTTTAATTTGCAGGCGAGCTTAACAACTCCCTACTTGTTTTTTGGTTCAGTTTACATGTTTTTTAAGCCACAATGAAGCTTTGTTGGGCTCAACACTACTCCTGACATTTGAATTGAGAACGCTTTCTGGATGGGAAGCGAAACATCTATACACTTTGGAAAACAAAGTCCAATGGTTTTTTAAACCTCTTTTGAAAAAATCTTATGTTGTCATTTAGTTGATTGTTACAGTTGAGTTAAACGTTAAATTTAAACGTTGAGTGCTAAAGTTCTATTGAGAAAGGATTTAACGTAAATCCAGCTTTGCGCATCATTATTCAATGGTGATCTGTATTGGGGGACAACATTGTTTCAATATTGCATCAACTTCAAGATCATGCTGAGTTCTAAAATTAAATGTGAGGCCATGTCTCTGGTATGATTGACCAACCTGGGCCTACATTGGGACAATAATCCCTTACACTGCAGCACTACAAGAGATTGCCTGGAAAAAAAAGAATAAAAATTTAAAAAGTAAAAATCTGCAAAGTTTTGCAGACGATTAATCAGTTCATAAAGAAAGATCCTCCTACGAAGGGGAACAATTTAGCCGCTACCCCTCGAGATATACATCTAGATTGGATTGCAGTGGATTACTTACTTTCCTGGTTACAACCTTTAAACCTCTTTGTGATCATAACTTCAACATTAACTCACCGCACAACCTTCTAGGTCAACTATTTTGAGCACTTCACACACATCAAGATGTTCTCATGCATTTCACTTACACCAACCTTGCCCCCGTCCGCGTTGTACTCCTTCTCGTCGGCGTCCAGAAGCCTGGCCAAGCCGAAGTCAGTGATCTTGATGTGATTGGGTGACTTAACCAGCACGTTCCGAGCTGCCAGGTCTCGGTGGACTAACCGCCTTTCCTCCAGGTACATCATCCCCTAAGAGAATGAGAGAAAGAGAGAGATGAGCAATACTACCATCAACACGTTTATCTGTTTGAATCTCAAGACTGAGCCCACTGAGGCATTAAATGCCAGCGGCAACATCAAATTCTTGTCATAACTGTAATCAGCATTAACTCCACACCCATGCAGACATTTAGATTTGATGAATAATCACTTTAATACCTCATGTGTATGACTCTAAGCAGTTCAGAAGTGTCAGGAAGTCTGTTTTCGAATTTGCAATCCTCCAAAGAAAAGTGTGTCTCATGGTTTGTTAAAGTTTTTTATTAAGAAATAAAGTTTTGCATGATTTTGATTTTAAATCCTCTACATTTCTTGTTGTTTTGGACAGTGAAACATGCAGGTTTAGCTTTATTTATGTCTGCAGATACAGGGAAAGGTAAAAACACCACAGTACACCAGGCAGGAAACAACTGGAACTTGGAAACATTCTACCCACTTTTTAGAATAAGGGTAGCACCTATGAAGTAAATTTAGTTCCAATATCATTGCAAGCAAAGAACATGTTTGGTAAATTGAAATAATAAAAAAAAAGCAATCCGAAAGTGAAACTTTGGCTATTTAAACCAAAAAAAGGTTTTAAGAGTAAATGTGCTATTTTCTTAGATTTTGTTTCTTCAGTTTTTCTTTTGTATTAAAAAAAATAAAATGAATATATATATTACAAATTTTAGAAGTTCATTTATTATTTATTTCTGTTTGTCAGATTGAGTTATGCGAACTGCATTTGTTTCGAATTGCATTTTACAGATAGCAAACACATTTTTATTGGTTAAGAGCTAGCATTGGGCATGAAATGAAGAGAATGTGATCCAAAAAATGCTATTCCAATGAACCGCCAAAACCTTGCAAAAGTCATAAAAAAAAAAAACAACTAATAAACTTAAACCATAAAATATTAAGAAAAAAGTGGAAAAAAATATGTTTTTTTTCTTTTTATTTAAATCTAAACATATATTTAAAAAAAGGGAACAGAAATCGGAGGAAACAAATTACTCTTAATACTTTTTTTTTTAAATAGAAGTTTACTTTTTGGAATGCATGTATACAAAATGTGTTATTTCAAATGTCCATTTGTAAATAGTCTTCTTTGCTTGCTACAATAAGGGAACAAAATCCACTCCATACACTTGGCCAAACATTAATGGTTGTGCATATGCCTATACATTTGAGCCCTTTAAAAGTTTTTTTTATTATCATAGAGCAGTTTAAGTATTCTATATATGAGAGTAAAGTCAAAACTTAAACTAATGGAGAAATTTGCACCTTCATCTTGGTCTATTAGTGCAAAATTTCCCCACAAAATATAGATTTTTAACAAATTGTCTGGTGTTTTATGATTAGCATCAGACTACTTATAATTACTTGCATTTGCAATCACAAATTATCGAATCTTTCCTTGATCTTTATCGACCGGGATGCTTTTGGGAGTGTGACACTTGAGCTGTGTTAAAGCGAAGCAATCAGCAGCATCGCCCCAACCTCAAACGGTGGCTTGCCCCCTCTGCCGGAACGCCGGTGTTTACCTCCCTGGGTGCCTGGAAAAATTAATTGGCTCCTTGAGCTGTTGTACATTCCCCACTAGTCGGTGCGCCGGCCTCACCTCATTGCCCCGTCACTTTAAGTCGAAGTGTATTAATGGGCTGTGTGGCCCATTGATTCCTAATTTCTCTCGACATCGACATCGGAGATAAATATTGCGTGGCACGCTCGTCTTTGGGCTTTATTGTAATCAGCATTGTTATTGATCGCCTGCCCTGAACTACCCAGAAGCAATCTATTTTAAACACACTTCCAGCAAAGCAGGGGGTGTTGCTTTTAGCCCTGTCACAGCGCATTGTGTCCTGTGTTGGTGGAATTCATCCCAACAGCAGAGAGGAAGTGATCCAACTTTGTGGATAAAAGAGAGAACCATGCAAACAGACTGACAGGTAGATATATTGCACATATGCCCTGGGAAAATGTCTTGCTCTTCAGTGCTGGTGGTCTCTTAGATGTCCCTGTCATAGTGTGCATTTGTGTATGTGTCACTCTCAGCAAGGCCGGAGGATGATGGATGAGGGCTCAGCTAGCGGCGAGTCAGACGTCGGCGCTATCGATTTATCCTCACCATCGTCTGCGAGGAAAAGGGGAAAGGGGGGAGAGGGGGGAGGCAACCGCGGCGTGAGTCGGTTCGACACCACGCACACAGACACACATATTTACTCCCCCCTTTCCTCTTCTAAGAGTCTCAAATGGCTGATGATTCTCTTGCACCAGTGGAGGCGTGGGTCTTGGTGTAAATTTTTCATTGTCTCCTGCGAACAATGACCGCCTCGCTTCTCACCAAGGTGTTTCCATTGATCCAGCAGCAAAGCGGCGTCCACTTGTTTAACATCCAGCTTAATACACTTGAATTGGCTCAACCTTGCCTGTCTCTGCTTTTTTGTTCCGCTCTGAGAGCAGCGGCTACTAGAAAGCATAATCTCAGAGAAACATATCTGACCAGGGTTTCCTGTTTATCCATTTAGCACATAAATACCCTTCTAAGCAAAGTTCTTCACCTGGCTTAGAAGTTGTTAGTTTCCCATATGTGGTGGTTTGTATTTCTCTTGCCTCTCTCCCCATTTCCTCCCAAAATGACATGGAGGGCTATTAGTGCAACCAAATCTTCAAAATGTACCAATCAGTAGTCGTAAACATAACTTATGGAGACCATTTATTCAAATGTTTAGTCTACAGGCATGTCCGTTTCAGCTATTCAGTTTCAAGATATAAAACCACGATTAGGATATAGTACTGCTCAAAATAAATTCTTAAGGTTAATCGATGTGGGTGGATTGCTCCCAAACCATTTTTAATTCGTATTCAAGATCATTTTGCAACATCAGGGTTCCTACAGCATAAGGCAAGTTAAATTAAAGACTTTTTAATGTCACTTGAAACAAAAAGTTAAGACCAACTTCACAATTCACACTTCAAAACACAAAAAAACATGGTTGCAACAAATTAAGCCAAATGTTTATTTGAACATAAGCCATTACTTTCTGGCCCAGTAGAAATTTTTCAAATTTTAAAAAACTTTCCATATAGGAAGAGCGCTAACTACTGAACTGAATACACAAACTATATAATATACAAACACACACACATATGTGTATATATATATTTTTTTATATTTACACATATATAATTGCCTTTATGGGTTATGTAAAGAGGTCATCACTTCAAATATTGTATTTCTGTTGGGTGACTGTAAACTCCTCATCACTCTGATGGGCCGTAGGGATTCTGTTCTGTAGGTTAATTTAAATGCATATTGATCACAAGGTAGACAACAACATTCAGAAATGTTAGGCGAGTCTATTTGATCCAACATGAATGGGTGAATGGTAGTAGAAGTGCACCGTCAGTGCAATGAGAGGAACTGTTGACAAAGGCAATAGTCTTTGGGAGGGCTTACAGTGCAAAGAGGAGAAAAGGGCAGAAAATCTGAAATCAACTGTTTGGAGGATAAAGTCCAACTATGTTGATGTCTGCACTGTGGTGGATATTGTTAGTTTTATGTTTTCTGTCAGTATCCGGTTTTGCTTTTCTCCTTGTTTCCTAGTTTTTATGGTTTAATTCTTAGTTTATTGTGTTTTTTTGGGTCTTTCTTAGTTACTGTCTCAGTCTTGGTTGTGTTATATTTTCTTTTTAGTGTTCAGTTTTGCTTTGCTCCTTGTTTTCTAGTGTTAGTGGTTTTATTTTTATTTTGCTGTGTTATCTAATTAATTCTTAGTTTCTATTTGTCTTGGTTCTGTTATGTTTTCTTTTGAGTCTTTAGTTCTTCTTTTTTCCATGTTTTATAGTCCTAGTGGTTTAATTATTATTTTGTTGTGTATTCTAGTTATTTTCAGTCCTCCAGGTTTTTTCATTTGTTGCCCTCTGCTGCCCTCTTGTGTTCTCCTTTCTCCCTACCTCCTGTTTTGTTTCTGCTCTGTCCTCACCTGTTCCCGATCTTCTCATTAGCCCTCTCTTTGTCTCTGTCTCCTTTAAAAGCCCTCTCTCTTCAATTCCTCTTTGCTGGGTCCTCGCCTACCTCTTCTGTCATCTCTCTGAGCCTTCCTCCTGGTTACAGTTCTTCCCCTGTTGACTCCATGGTTTTTTGTTAATGTTCGATTTGAGTTTCCTCCTTTGTTTTTTGAACTTTTTTTCATTTTTGGATTTTTGGTTGCCTGTTTGTTTGGACTTTGTTTTTTCAGTAATTCATCATTAAATCAACCAGAAATTTACCTCTGCCTGCCTGGCTCTCCTTTGGCTCAACAATCCTTAACCAAATCCTGACAGATATTTTCAAATTCAATAAAATTTTATAATACTTTATTAATCCTAAAGGGAAATTACATGTTGCAGTAACTCATAAGTTATTTTTTTAAAAGGTGTTGTAGGTGTTGATAGCTGTAGGCAGGAAGGACCTTCTGTAGCCGTCTGTCTTACATCTGATCTGGAGAACCTCTGACCGAAGACACTCATGTTTAAAAATCTTCTGAAGAGAATGCTCCTACTGTTTTCCATAAAGTTCTTCACTTTATGAAGTATTCTCCTTTGTAAAAGAATGTCAAGATGTTCTAGAGAAGTTCCTTGAACGAAGCTGTCCTTATTTATTAGCTTGTCAAGCTTTTTTTGTAAGACATTTAGCAGATGGAGGAAGAGATCACACAACCACAACACACTTAAAGAAGAGATGTAGCCTCTTGCTGCTAATGCTGAAGGACCTAAGCTTCCTTTGGAAGAACAATCTGCTCTGTCAAGGTGAACACCAAGGTATCCATACTCCTTCCCCCTGTCCACTTCTTCTTCCATGATGTTAGTAGGATTGAACTTGTTCCTGTTTCTTCTGAACTCTACAATCATCTCCCTTGTTTTGTTCACATCTTTGATGCACCCAATGGCTTCAGAGTCATCTGAGTATTTCTGCAGATAACAGGACTCTGTTTGGTACTGGAAATCAG